AGCTATGGTCTTCCGGTCTTGTCCTCCTCTCCCCATCCCAAGTCCACCCAGATTATTTCCTATTAGAATAAATATCTCAGGCTCAAATTTAGGTCCTTTATCAATGACCCTACTCTATTATTTCAGCTAGTTTTCTGTTGTTTCTGAAATGAATCTCCTGCTTTAGCTCAGCGAATCTCCTACTTTCTCCTGTTATTGATGTGCCTATTTTCTTCTTACCGCCTTTAAGCAATTTCCTTTACCTTTTTTCTCTATAAATAAACCTAAATTCTGAATTTCATTTTTTGTTCTTTTCTGTTGTTAAGAAGTCCTCCCTCAGTTTACATGTATTATTTTCCAGTTTAAAATTGGAAATTGATAATTGAATTCTTCATTAATAATGTTGGATTATCATTTTGTGTTTCATATTTTACCTCCCTAGTGATGTTGTAATTTTCTTGGCAGCAAGGACTTAATAATTCTTACAATCAGGCACAGCCGTTGTCACTACTGAGGATGAATGCGTTTGATTGGTTCATGGCTCTGGAGGTCTGGCCAGAATTGTCTGGATCATGCAGATGAACCCTGACTGAGATGAAAGTTGTGCAACAGGAATCCTTGAATCCAGTGGGACAAAGCAGCTTCTGACAAAAATACCTTCCTAGCTAGCGCCAAGTGCAATTTCATACATCACTCAGACCATGCAGGCAAAGCTGCAAAGTCAAAGAATTTTGATGTTAAATAGCTTTATGTAAGTGTTAACTATTAATATGAGCCAGATGCTGGCAGGTATGTGAGACAGAAAGTCTGAATTTGAATCCTGGCTTTGTTTCCAGTTAAGCTGGGTGATATTGGTTAAACAACTTACCCTCTCTGGGCTACAGTTCTTAATCAGATTTAAAAAGATTTAAAAATTTTTTCATTTTAAAATGAAATGATTAGACTCCCAATTATTTTAAGGACCAGATTAATTATAAAATTATGTCATTCTATTTTCAAATCAATGACATGGCAGCCATAACCTTTGGGATTTTTCAGATATCGTGGTTCAATTTAGAATTTTTCCATTTTACAATGGGCTTACCTGGAAGTAACCCCATAAGTTGAGGAGCTTCTTATGACTTAGGATACGGTTACGGTTCCTACTGAATGTATATATATATTTCATACCATCCTAAAGTTGAAAATATTGGAAGTCAAGGACCATCTGATCTGTTGCTAGCATTAAATGCAATTTTGGCTTACAATATTTTTTAACCTACATTGTGTTTATTGGGAAGTAACCGCATGGTAAGTGGAAGAGCATTTTGTACTTCATTCTGTGTAATAGGATTTACTAGTTTCATGTGTAGTCAGGAACACTCACTTTCAGGTTTTGGCATTTACTTCTGTTTCTCAATTTGTGTGAAAGTGGATGGACAGATGGTTTATTAGGCTTTCAAATGTTTACAATGCTGTTGTTCAATTCAACAATGGTTTTAAACTTTGAATGTCCACACAGAACTGGATTTTGTTTGGAACGGAAGACCGTTTCAACGCTTCAATTTAAGGATAAGAATGTTTACTGACATAACTTAACGCAACTTTGGATATAACTACAAAGGCCTAATCAATTTCCTTTATTTTGGTATGTTTCTTAACTCATTTCCGCATCACAGCCTAACTCTTCCAAGTTGCAGTTTCAAAAATGAAGTTACTTAATAAACAAGACATCCAGTTATATTTGCATGTTTTGTCTTCGCTAGACTCATTTAACCTATACCCTCCTTCCATATACAAAATCCTTTACTTCAGAATCACGGAAATTTAGAAGGAGGGACACATTCTTCACTTTACAGCCAAGAACACCTAGGACTTCCTGGTACTCTTTCTACTATGTATTTTATAAATAAAAGAGCTGAAGTGAAATTAGGTCGCAGGGAAAAAACATCCAACATTTGTGAATTTTAAGCCGCAATAGAAAAATCCCATTCCTTGACATTCAAGTGGCAATGAGAATATTAGTGCATAAAGAAAGTATAGCTGGAATTATGCAAGTCAAACGATGGTCTCCACTGCTGTTGCTTTGCTTTGCGATTTTTAATTGTTCAATGTGACTCTCTTCGTGTAAGTGGGACCGTGAACATGCAGCTGTTGAATACTCAAACTGCAACAGAAGTGTGTGTAGTAGTCAGAACCGAAAGGACGCGAAAAATGCAGTTAAAGGAAAGCATGAGCCTTGCCAGGAGGGATCCGAGGGGGTCCAGAGGTAGGGAAATTAAGACGCCTTGGCACAGCAGTTGTCGAGGAGGTACGGGCTGCAGAGCAGGTAGAGGTGTCAGCAAGAGAGCCGGGAACGCACCGGGGCCCTGAGGCCCCAGCATGCAGGAGAGAGGACGGGGAAAGAAGATGCAAGGGGCCAGGGGTAAAACTGCGGAAGGAAGCCGAGGTCGACCTAGTGAGCAGCACAGACCTTCCAGAAGAAAAGAGAAGGTGACTATGAGAGCTTAGAACGGGACGAGGAGGTTGGGGAAAGAGTATGAAAAAGCTGAAGGGGCGGACGGGGTGTTGACGAGATGGGAAAAGGCGCGCGGGGAGGAGGGGAGCGGAGCGAGGACTGGGGACAGTAGGCAGGTGCGACCAGCCGAGCTCGCGGGCCGGGGCGGAGCTACTCGCGCTGGCGGAAGCGGCCGCTGATTTAGGGACGCTGTGCCGGCAGAGTCCGGGCTGCGCAGGGAGGCGGAGCCTCGAGTGCGCGGGCGGGCAGAGGGGCGGGGCCAACGCCTGACGCGGCCGCAGACCGCGGCGGCCGCGGGCCGGGAGGGGCGGCGGCATTCGCGGCGGTCGCGGGGGAGGGGCACGGCGTCAGCGCGTCGCCGGCTGGGCTGCGCCCGTGGCCAGGAGGGAGAGACGAGGAGGAGGAGGAGGAGGAGGAGGTGAGTAGGCTCCGGGCTGGGGAGCCGCGCGGGCCGGCAGGGAGGCGGGGAGCACGGCCCCTCCCCTCCCCGGCGCCCGCCTCGCGGGGCCGCGCTGCGCGGAGTTCCCAGAGGGGCAGCCGCGGAGGCTGCGGCGCGGGGAGCCGGGGGCGGGGGTTGTGGGGGAGGCGGAGCTGAGAGTCTAGCACTTCCCGGGCGCACGCGCTGCGCTCCCTGCGCGGTGGTCCGCCCCGCGCTCGGAATGCGCCGTCCAGGCCGTTGCGTTTTGTTTCTTCTGCAAACTGACGGGGTTCGAATTGCTTTTTCTTGATGCCTACACGTCGTGCGTGCCGGCTTTCCGCAGCCCGGCGCTCCGCTTCTTACTCGCGCATTCTGCGAGGACGGGTGGGGGCACGTCGCCCTCGCGCGGGAGAAGGGAGGCCGGGCGCCCGGGGTTGGCCTGAGTTGGCTGGGATGCCTGGCCGACCACCAGGGCTGCCCGGCGCTTGGCCCCTTGCAGTGCAAGCCCCGGGCCTTCCTGAGGGTAACCTTGGCGTCTGGCTCCTGGTCGCTCTCGGTTTCGAGACCTCCCCAGCGCCCCACTCCCCTCTGCCAGCTGAGTGTGAAGACCACACTGTGCCCCTCTCCATCCCTTGTCTGAGGATTAAGCGCACAACTTCCCATTTTCATCGGGATCCAGACAGTCCCATTCTGTCCAGGTGGAAAGGTTCTCGAAATTTAAGTCTTGGGAATTCAGCAGCGAAATTTAATACTTTAGTCCCGAAGCATTTTTTTTTTTTGCCTTCTCTCGCACATACAACTTTTAGAGTCTTCTGATAATTCTGCGGCATTAGGTTATCTTGAGATTCTTAAGTTAACCGCCTTGAGGCCCTGTGATGGCAGGTTCAAAAAGAAGGCTTTTACAATTTTTCCTCCACCCGTATCGCAGTTTGAAATGGAAAACGTGAGTCGATGATTTTCCACGCGAGATGGATTTCAGTTGGCAGCCCCCGGCTGCCGTGGCTCACCTTGGTCATTTGGTACTACCCGGAAGTTGATTTTAAAGCTTAACATAATGGTTAGGTAAAGGAGCTACTGAAAAAGAAGTTCAGTACAATTCAATAGAGCCATTCTATTGGATTCTATTAACTTGTTTAACCTTAAGCTTTAACCATGACAGGAGTTTCATGTAGGAACCCACATACCAAGTGAAATATTGAATTTTAATTCGTGCGTTCCGGGTCTGATTTGGATTAGATCGGCTCCCACTCCCTTTTGGTATACATTTTCCATAGGATCCTGTACTGAATTTAATGGAAACAGTTTTGGTATTGAGGGTTGGAGGAGTACGTCTTGAATCGAGAAACTTTCTTTGGCATACTTGAAAACAATGAATAGGTAAAATCTGAAGCATGATACTTGCAGTAAGGTAGGAAATAATGAATTTTTTGACATCACCAGTTTGCAAAGTTAAGATGGCTTCTTTACTCCTGATTTGAAAATTGTGTTGACGTTTTCATCTTATGCATTACAGAAGTACAAAGTTTTCGATTTGTAAGGGACCTTTCAGCATAATCCAATCCCATTATTTTACAGAAAAATTGAGAATCTAAGAGTTTCTTGATGAATTTAGTAGGAGCCGAATAGAACTAGTTGCCTTAATTAAACACTTAACTAGGTAATTCAGACCTCGTTTATTGTACTAAAGTTTGTTTGATTATGGTATCTTAAAAAGCCAAGTAATTGGCTGGGTACGGTGGCTCATGCTTGTAATCCCAGCACTTTGGGAGGCTGAGGCAGGTGGATCATGAGGTGGTGAGTTCGAGACCAGCCTGGCCAACATGGTTACACCCCATCTCTACTAAAAATACAAAATTTAGGCGGGTGTGGTGGTGCATGCCTGTAATCCCAGCTACTCAGGAGGCTGAGGCAGGAGAATCGCTTGAACTGGGAGGCGGAGGTTGCAGTGAGCTGAGATTGCTGCATTGCACATCAGCCAGGGCCAGAGAGTGAGACTCCCTCTCAAAAAAAAAAAAAAAAATTCAAGTAATTACTAAATTTTAATATTTTTTCTCAATTTATGATTTTAACCCATTAGATTAAAATGCCATAAATTGTTCATAGTTAGGAAGTATTTACTTCTATCAGTTTTAACATTACTTTCCAGTTTTTTGAATTAGTAATTATCTTTCCCTTATAATCGATTCATATTTTTGATTCAGATAGCCTACATCACTTCCAGCAGATTGGTATTTTAAGAGTCTTAGAGTTATGGTGTATATAACCTCGATATAGTTATGTGTCACTTAATGACAGAGGTATGTTTTGAGAAATGTATCCTTGTGGGTGCATTGTAGAGTGTACTCACATAAACCTACATGATGTAGCCTACTTCACACCCAGGCTATAGGGTATAGCTTATTTGTCCTGGGATACATCCCTGTTCAACATGTTACTATACCGAATACTGTATCTAAACATGCCTAAACTTAGAAAAGATTTAGTAAAAATACGGCATTAAAATCTTACGGGACCACAGTTATATATATTCAATGTCTTGTTGACTGAAATGTTGTTATGTGATGCATGACTGTCACTTAGGAAAGGAAATCCTTTTGATAATCTAATTCAAGCATGTCCAGTGTCACATTTCTAAGTGAGGCTCAGATGCATGAGTCCTGAAGTTCTTACTGTGGTGGGATGAATTTTTTGCATCCCAGAGCACAGTGTTTAGTGTAGACATTTAGTAAATACTTGTTAGCCTGTATGCACTTTTCTGGTAGGTGCTTCGTGAAAGATCGGCCATGTCTTACTCATCTGTGTATGCTCGTTGTCAAGTGTAGTGGGTACTCTTTAAATGCTTATGATCTTATTGGGCTTAATCTGATTTTTGACGGTAGCAGTGCCTGAAAGTGCTGAATCATGATATAATAAACTTGAAATAACTCAGTTCCTTTTTTGTGTTGAACTAGATACTCTGTTAGGTATCAGGTGTTAGATACTTGAGAAAAATTGGGGGAGGAAACTTAACACTGTAAATTTTGTTCTTTGACTTATGTTAGTCACTCTGATATTGGGAAAGAACATGACTTAAATTCAGGAATAGAACACCTTAGGTGAGCTAAAATAATGCGATGTTTCCACAAGAGCAAAGTGTGGCAATATGAATTGAGTGATCCTCTGATTGTTACTGTAGGCCACATTTTACAATCTTGCTTTTATTTTACAAGGGTATGTTTTTCAGTATATAGACTTTTGCAAGGAATGTGACTTTCAGAGTTTGGACTACCTTGGCAAACTGTCCTAAATGATATTTTAAACAGCTTTAGTTTGTATTTGATATGTTATGCTTCTTGTTGGTGTTATATAAAGAACACTGTAAATTCTTTTTCTCTTATTCTTGCCTCTTCTTTTTTAAATCAATTAGAATAGTGTGTTTTTTATTTTTATTTGTTTATTTTTGAGACAGAGTCTCACTCTGTCACTCAGGCTGGAGTGCAGTGGTGCTATCTTGGCTCTCTGCAACCTCTGCCTCCCAGGTTCAAGCAATTACTCAGCCTCAGCCTCCTGAGTAGCTGGGACTACAGGCACATGCCGCCATGCCCGGCTAATTTTTTGCATTTTAGTAGAGATGGGTAATGTTGCCCAAGATGATCATGAACCCGTGAGCTCAGGCATTCCACCTGCCTCACCCTCCCAAAGTGCTGGGATTACAGGCATGAGCCACCATGCCTGGCCAACTTTTATTTTTTATTTTTACTTTTTTGAGGCAGAGTCTTGCCCTGTCACCCAGGCTGGATTGCAATGGTGTAATATCAGCTCACTGCAGCCTCTGCCTCACTAGTTCAAGTGGTCTCCTGCCTCAGCCTCCTGAGTAGCTAGGATGACAGGAATGTGCCACCATGGCTGGGTAATATTTTTTGTGTTTTTAGTAGTGATACGGTTTTGCCATATTGGCCAGGCAGGGCTCTATCTCCCACCTTGGCTTCCCAAGGTGCTGGGATTACAGATGTGAACCCTCTGTGCCTGGCCTGCTTATTTTTTTTAAAAAATCGAGGAAAATTTTCAAGCTTTTCTTTTGGAAAGTACCAACCAACACTCCATTCTTTGAATTGCCAGGGAAGATTTGGGCTGAGCAGATGCAGTGCCAATTCCATAGGCTGATTCCTATTTGAACATGTAGAGTCATATGAGTAGTAGCCTTCATAGGGACATCTTTGAACTACGTTCATTTTTTCTACTAATATTATTACTGAAAGCAGTTGTACAGTAGAGTAGGATGGTGTTTAATTTATAGGAAGCAAATCATCTCACATCTATCATTGCTTCTGATGTCAGTCCTAGTCTGCCTGGCCTACCCACTGCCAGATCAGTCTCTTCCACTCAGACAGAAGATACCTAAGACCTCTGTCACCTACAATAGGAAGGATCTGTAATTATTCTCGTGCCCTGAGCATCCATTGCTCACAAAGATGTGCTATCTCACCATGACCTTGGGATGTGCTCAGTTTGCCTGCAAGATTTTCATTTTTAAAGTACTTTTCTCATAAGGAGTTTTAGAATAATGACAACTTGTGTGTGAGGCATCTAGAATATTTCAAAATAGTTATAGATGGAGTTAGGATATAGAATTAGACAATTAGTAAGCATATCTAGTGCTTTTCCCCTGCTCTGTAGGATCACACAAGTCATTTAAACAGATAATTTCTTTGAGTATTTAAAAAATAACCAGAGAAGGAATTCCACAGTCTTTCCTTAGTAAGCGATAAGTAGTCCATAGAACTGATGTTTCTTGCTTGGTTTCTTTTTGCATTCCAGGTACTTGTGGAACTGGGACCTTGTCTTAAGCCTGTTTAGGCACCCTAACAGCCTGATCTTTCTCTCCTTGCTATCTCCCCTACCCTTAGGGAGCTGGGACCCATTCTTGTCTATAGGTAGGTGGTTGGGGTCTTCAGAGCCAAGATCCTGTGATACTGTTTTCTGGACTCACGTGAACTCACCAGATTGACCCCTTAGATACTGGGATCTAGGCTCCGTGGCTGTTATAATTTGAACTTTTTAAGGGTCAACTTTTCATTTGTATCAAGGACTCTAGGACACTCTGTATTCACCTAGTCATGAGTCAGAATGCCTTTCCTGACTAGCCTGCTGTTGGGTTCTTTGCTTTCTTAGTGGGGACACTTATGGGTGTCTCCAATAAACTGGTGATTTTTATGCAGTTCAATGGTAGCTCATTATTTTCAAGTGTTTGATTTTCTGCCTTTTTTTCTCTTAGTTTTGAGCTTTCATTTGATCAGGTATTGGGGTTCTCACAATGCCATCTTTGGGTTCAATTAATTTGCTGGAGTGACTTACAGAACTCAGGGAAACACATTTACTTGTTTATTATAATGAATATTGCAAAGGATACAGATGTAGAGACGTGGGACAGGATATGGAGGAAGGGGCACAGAGCTTCCATGTGATCTCTGAGTGCACTGTTCTCCAGGAACCTCCATGTGTTCAGTTATCTGGAAGCTCTCTAAACCAAGTTTTTTTGTTTTTTTTTGTGGCGGCTTTATGATAGCATTCCTTCCTCCAGGGTATAGTATGGGATCCTCTATGGGTTGGGGGCAGAGCATGGGAAAAGCAACTAGAATTGTGGATCCATTTTGACAGCATTCCTTCCTCCAGGGTATAGTATGGGATTCTCTATGGGTTGGGGGTGGAGTGTGGGAAAAGCAATTAGAATCCTGCCTTGGGCCAGGAGAAAGTTAGAGTCTATCCCCTGAGGCCCGACACACCTAACATTATACCAAAAGCCTGAATCAAGGGCTGTGATAGTTATGAGCCAGGAACTGTACATGGAATCTCTCATCTTTCTCTCTCTTTGTGAGTGTGTATAAAATAACATCACAGGTATCTATTACACATTCCTTGAGCATGGTCATTATCTGTCTTTACCTCCAGACCATGTGTACCCCAGCGCTGGGACTGAATCTGTCCAGTTCCTGGAGGTGTCCTTAGCGCTAAATACGGTGCCTGGCACATAGCAGGTGATAAATATAGATTAGATTAAATTTCTCCTAACAGGAAGTTCTGTTATTAGTGTGGGAAGCCAGTGTTCATATAGAAGTTTAAAATTCATTCCAGAAGTTTAGATATTTCATTGCCATCATTAGTACTAGAGAGTCTATGTGTTTTAAATTATAGGCTTATCCATATAAAAAATGGCAACATCAGTCACCTGATAGGACATTTAATTAAGAAAAGGTATTTTCTTAATTATTTTCACTGTGTTGTCTTGTAAGGCATTGTACATTTCAGTTTTTCTTGAATTTGATTAATATGCATCTATTATCTTATATTTCTTACAATTAGAAGTTTTATTATGAAGAAGTGAGTTTAATGACCCTATTTTTGTTGATTAGTAATTATATGTTAAAGAGTAAATTCTCAGTAAAAGGCCCTTAAATGCCTGCTCATAAAAAAGAGAGACCTCTTTGATTTTGTTCTCTGTACGATCCCAGTTCTTGTATTGAAGCAAGTCATCAAACTCTTAGTAGTCTAAACCTTTTATTTGGGTTTCAGAACAGTAGTCGTGTATTGAACACCCAAATTACCATGTCTTTAACGAGTAATGTGGACACTCTGTATTAAAAAGGTAATGACTATAACTTTTTTTGTAGAATTTCTTGTGCTGATTTTTAAAAGAGGACTTTTGAACTAAATTTCCTGTGAAGGCCAAAATCTTACACTTTTAATGGTAGTGGAGTATGTGTATATGTGTAGAGGCAAGGGGGTGGTAATTTTTGTAGTGGTATTTTTAAGTGGACAGTTTACTAATTATGTGGAGGTAAACAGTTTACAACTCTAATAGGAAAACTTCAATTATCTGAATGAATTGAGGTACATGAAATTAATTCAGATAAGTCGGGGAATCTTTAGTGTAAATGATGCATGTCAGGGGATATGACCTCAATCTTGATTATTTTGTATATATCTGTCAGCTTCTTTTACATTACTAGATTGTGATTCTTTTAGGTCATGTTAGGAATCATTGCTAGAAGAAGATAAAGTTGCTCTATAGTTTTGTTTTTTCTTTGCTACATAGGAATTCAGAGTGTGGTATTCTCTGACGAGTGTAATTGCTCATCTCTCCCCCATACTGCCTGCTGTTTTAGGTGGTACACCACAGCCTTACATATATATCTGTCAGCTGCTTTTATATTACTAGATTGTGATTCTTTTAGGTCATGTTAGGAATCATTGATTAAAGCAGGTGAAGTTGCTCTATAGTTTTGTTTTTTTCTTTGCTACATAGGATTCCAGATTGTGGTATTCAGTGATGAATATAATTGCTCATCTCTCTGCTGTACTGCCTGCTGTCTTAGGTGCTACAGCACTGCCTTCCATTTTGTCACCTTCCTGTCAAACGTGCATGGGGACTCCTTAAGAATACAGGTTTTTTGAAATTAAAGCCACACTCTGTCCAATCTCAGGATGTTTATAATTCCTAAAAGTTGAGCAAATTGAGACAGATAAACCATGATTCCTTCTCTGCCCTTTTTTGGGTTTAAATATTAAGCGGCACTTTTGCAGTGTAGGCCCTTAAAATAGAAACAAAAGGTTGGGGCGTGATGCCTCATCTTTGTAGGTCCTAACTTGAAAATTTTGTGGATTGATTGGAGTTTTAGGAAAATGATTATTTGCTGCAAATTACTAAGGTTGGCAGCATTCCTGGGCTCTTGGCATCTGAAAGCTGTTGTGTAATCTGTAGAGAGCCTGTGTAGGTGTGATGACATTGTATTCTAGGCTTTTTTTGTTTTATTTTTATATAGAAGCAAGCTTGTCTCAGCCACAGAGATGTGTGCTGACACCTTATAAGTGAATTTACTTTTTACTTTTCTTAAAGCACCTGAAAACATAGCTTGTTATTTTCAGTGTGCACCATCTTCCTTTTCACCTCTTGATCTTTAAGATACAAGATAATTCATATCTTGATTACCTTGGGTAGGCGAGTATGATATCATCAAGCTCTGTATCCAGACCTTGCGAGGAAATCCTAGGTCATTGCTTGAGGCCTTCTTAAATGTATGCAGGCAGTGTGACTGCACATTTTGGGTTTCACGGTCAGTCCAGACTGATTTTGACTCTGTACCATTTATGAGCAGCAAGCGTTTTTGGGGTTTTCTCATATAAATGGGGGGATTAGTCTTTTATAGTATTATCTCTTTTTTTTAAGTAACTTAGTTATATTACTCTATTGTCATTTTCAAATTCTGTGAATTAAAGTGTATCATTTTAAAAGGAAGTAGGTTTTGTACTTTTTGAAGACAGAGGTAATCAAGTTAGTAAAAATCTTTCCAAATAGAGGTCTTACTCAATCGACTTTAAAACTATAGAAGACTCTTGTAGTTATCAGTCTATTTATATACAAATAATACACTCCTGTGTGGTATAGCAAGGCAGAGTATGTGTTGTACTCTGGAGTCAGACAGACTTGTGATATCGTTGATTCATCACTTTCCACTTGGGTAACCTTGGGTAGGATACTTTACCTATTTGATTCAAAGTTTTAGTCTGTAAAATTAGTAATGAAGATTTAAAGAATAGAGATGTAAAGAACAATAAAGAGTAATAAGGATAAAAGGGTTGTTGTGAAGACTTAAGAGGAAGGTCTGAGAAATACTTGGTTATGCCTGAATCCAATAAATAATGAATATTGTAACTTTAGACAAGTAACTTCACCTTTCTTCATCACGAAATTCCTTATCTATGGCATAAGTATGCAGCTAACTAATAGGTTTAGTATGAGGATTAAATAAGATTATACATGTAAGTGCTCACTAAATATTAATTGCTATTATTTATATGAACAAGTGAGACCAATTTTGAATTCAACAATTCATGTAGATATTTAGTCTATTATATGGGGGATATTCATTATGGATTTGGGGATGGTGACTTATTTATTCATAGCTCTTAGTGTTTCCTTAAGATAACAGTTCACAAATTGTAGTGTACAGATCCCCAGGAATATCTGAGACCCTTTCAGGAGTGTCCATGAGGTAAAAACTATTACCATAGTAACAATAACTTTTTGCCTTTTCTATTGCTTTGACATTTGTCCTGCTGGTATAAAAAGCAATGATGGATGAAACTAGGCATCCTAGAAATTAAATGGCAGTAGGATCAAGCTGTACTAGTAATCATGATATTCTTCATAGCTGTGCATTCACAGAAAAAAAGCCACTTAACAATGTCCTTAATGAAGTGATAGCAATTGCTAATTTATTAAATTTTGACCTTTAAATATGCATTGTTTATAATATTTGGTGTGAAGAGATAGGAAATATGCAAAATGCATTTATGCTGCATATCCAGAGTATATTGCCTGTCTAGAGGAAAAATCCGTATGTGAATTTTTTTTGAGTTGCTAGTGAAACTAGCCAAATTTTGCATGAAACATCATTTTTGCTTGAAAGAATGAATACCAGACAAACTGTGATTATTTAGACTTAGAAATTTGGCAGTCATTTTCTTGAAAATGAACAAAGTGAGCCTGTCACTTCAAGGAAAACAACTGACAGTATTGTTGCCAATGATAAAATTCGAACTTTCAAGTGAAAATTAAAATTTTAGATAACTTTTGTTACCTGCTGTGCCATTGTCAGCTTCCCAGTACTTAAAAGACTTTCCTGATGAGATGGGTGGTGATTTTAATGAATGTGAGTTTTTGTTATTGTATGTTGGATTTCGTGAAGATTTGTAATATCTGCATATCTCAATGAGCCAATATTTTCAAAGTGACCAGTGTTACAAAATTATGGGTAAAAGATCTTTTCAAAAAACAAGTAACGGAATACAAAGAATTCATGCATATGAGATTCTGTATTTTGACTAACCCTTAAAAAACTCCTACTTGTCAAGTTTTGGTGTAGTATCAAAAAATAACATCCACAATTATCCTATTGGACTATTAATACATATACTTCTCTTTCCCTTACTACATATTTGTGTGAGGCCATTTTTTTTTTCATGTAGCTCAATCAAAACAACATAGCAAAACAGATTGAATGTAGACAATGATATGAGAATCCAGCTGTTTTCTGTTAAGCTAGGTGTGAAAGAAATGTGCAAAGCTTTTATAACAACATAATTTTTCGCACAAAGCTTTTTTCTGTTTTTGAAAGCAATAGTTTTTCCTAAAACGTGTTGTTTTATTGCATAAGTTATCTTATTAAATTTTTAAAATAAATTGATAAATACTTTAACTTTGTCTAATTTGATTTCTAAAATGGTGAATGTTGTTAATTATAAGCCACATATACAAAAGCTCTTGAAAGTACTCAGTAATTTTTAACAACATAAAGCAGTTCTGACTAAAGAGATGGAAAACTGTTTCTTTAAGGGGAGAAGTCTAAATTCATCAAATGAACAAAGTTCTAAAGTTTTAGTCTCTTGAGTATTCCTTTGGAATATGGACTTAACATGCCTCTAGTCTCTTTTTCTGCTTATAGGAATGTATTAGTGGACTACTGTGACATTTTCCAAATATTCATAGGGTAAGAAGGTTGCTTTTTGTTTGAGGCAGAGTTTCGCTCTTGTCACCCAGGCAATCTCGGCTCACCGCAACCTCCGCCTCCTGGGTTCAGGCAATTCTCCTGCTTCAGCCTCCTGAGTAGCTGGGATTACAGGCACATGCCACTGTGTCCAGCTAATTTTTTGTATTTTTAGTAGAGACAGGGTTTCACCATGTTGACCAGGATGGTCTCCATCTCTTGACCTCATGATCCACCTGCCTCAGCCTCCCAAAGTGCTGGGATTACAGGCGTGAGCCACCGCGCCTGGCCAGTTTTTGTTTTTAAAATGGATGCTACCTGTGTGGTTGCTATGCCAAATTAAAATACGGTTAATGGTCATTCTTGTTAGGCTGTTCGTGCTTGATACCACTCCGTAGGTTGTGAGGTATACATGCGGTTTTTGCAGCTGTTCACCATGGCACATTACTTCAGGGTTGTAGTGACCCTCATTTTTCAGAAGAGGCAGGAGGATTGCTTAAGCCCAGGAATTCGAGTCCAACCTAATCAATATAGCCAGACCCCATCTCTGGCTTAAAAAAAAAAATTAGTCAGGGGTGGCAATATACACCTGTAGTCCCAGCTGCTTGGGAGGTTGAAGTGGGAGGATTTCTTGAGCCCAGGAATTTGAGACTGCAATGAGCTATGATTGTGCTACCATATTCAGCCTGTGTGACAGAGTGAGACTCTGTCTCTTAAAACAAACAAAAAACCCATTTCTTTGAAGTCCATATACTACACTAATCTGTCCTGACATTTTTTAAGCTGTTTTCTAGTACCATCAATCTACAATTTATGAGTGCATTTGTGAATTAACTATCTGCAACAGTGTAATATGAATTACATATGGGTTCTGTAGTGCCATTAATAATATAAGCATTTCAGCTCATTATGGACTAATTAACATCTTTTTTTTGTGGGATAGTACTTTTGACTTCTAGAAATCTAGCCAAACATTTCTCCATTGCAGTCCAGCAGTGGCACAAACCTCTCCTTTTTCCCTCACAACAGAAACAGGGTTGTTAAAGGGTTAGTGACAGCATGAGAGGCATTTTGAAGCAATGCTCAAGAGACATAGATATCTTGGGTATCCCATGTAGGTGGTGAGTGATAGGTAACAGTTTCAGATGAAACAAGTATAGAAACTTTGGGCCAACTAGTAATGGTGGAGGGAAAAAAGCAATATTCCAGAGGCTACTTGGTTGGTGGGGGGTGATATATTCTCATTTGGAGCAGATGCTCAAAAGTCAGAGATGCTTTAAGTTCGGTGTTTCTAGGTTGGGGAATCCAGCTATATAGATTCAATTTTCTTGGGCCCTTGTTATGTGAACTGAACTCAAATAACAAAATGACAGTCAGTTGGGAACGTTGAACGAGTCTTTGGCCAGAAATTTCAATGTAAGAGGAAAAGTGATGAACTTCAGGGGCGATGGTGACCAGAGGAATAGTGGAAGCCAAGAGGAATGTTGGAATATGCAGACTGTTCACAGGGGGCCCAAAACAAATCCACTATACAGGATGGCTATTAGAGCAGGGATGGCACTGATGATCAGCTGGCATAGTTCAGTCAAAGAATGCTGTGACTCATCCCATTGCCCAAGTGTCTCTGGCAGAAAATACAGACTTTTCAGACTGATGTCTAGTACAGGAAGTCCATTACAGAGAATGGTTGATAAAAAGAAGAAATTCAGAACCAGGAGAGTTTGGGGACATGGAGCAGGCCAATGTTTGTGAACTGGAATTTGACCTGAAGGTGAGCTCCTTGTCCGCTTGCTGCCCAAAGTAAATATTAACACGTTGGACTAAGGCAAGACTGAGCCAAAAGCGAGAGTAAAGTGACTAGTGCTGTCTGCGTTGGTGTAACAGGTCTGGCCCAACAAATACTTGTCAGTTGAATGGATAGAAGTAAAACAGGGAAACATAGTCTTTCCACTTTGGTTCTTTGCGCAATGCGCACTAGATATCATGTTACCTACTCATAAAAAAAAAAAAAAAAAAAATCCATGGGTTGGCAAACTTCTCCTGCAAAGGACCACACTATTTTAGTCTTCAGGGATCCTATGGACTCTGTTGCACCTACTTAAGTTGGCCACTGTAGCATGAAAACAGCTGTAGAAAAATACATAAATGAAAGAATATAGCCATGCTCCAATAAAGCTTTATTTATGGAAATGGAAATTTAACTTCATATGATCTTCACAAAATATTAGTCTTCTTAAAACACTTTTTTTCAACCATTTAAAAATATAAATCCATTCTTAGATCCTAGATGTACAAGAATAGGTTGCATGCTGGATTTTGGCCCCCAGGCAATAGTTTGTTGATCCATTTCAGGCAAATAAAATACTATCAGTCATGATGCTGAAAGCTTAGCAGTGCTGAAATAGATGTTGTCTAGGACAATGCTGTTGGTGACATTGTCTTATTTTATAGGTGACACTGATGATAATCCATCTAAGAATTTAGATGTGACATCTGCAGCAGGTTCAAATCTCTCAGCTATAAAACAAACTGGATACTTCCTAAGATTGTCATCTATTATGCACAGAGAGCCAAAATCCATTACTGAAATTGTCTTGGTGAACCGCCTGCTGGGTCCAGTGATGCACTAGTAGACAAAGGAGTTGAAAAAGAAATCTGGCATATTCTTTGGATGACTGGCAGAGTGTGACACCAATATGGCACCAAGCCCTCCTGTGATTCCAAGGACTTCAGGACTGAAAAAAAAAAAAAAAGAAAAATTTTTTGGTGGTATCGGTTGGTGTGGTTGAAGTAAATTTGAGCTTTACTTGGGGAATGTGTACTATATTATCGTTCCATAATGATATGTAGTAATTTCTTTGGTAATCAAACTTTAAAGATCTTATATTTATGAAACTTTTATAGTTATCACCTTTTAGCATTGGGTTATCTCACTCTAAGGGAAATACAGTGAAGAAAAACATCTGTTTACTAAAAGGGTTGATTTCAGGACCATGATTTTCATATGGAAGTGTTTGCTTAGGGGATTCTTGAAATTTTGCCCTGATCTAGAATATTTAAAATACGTTTCTATTTGCAAAAACTACTATACTCAGAAATTTCTGGGAAAACATTTTTTTCAGTGGACTCTTCAATAGCAAAAAAAATCATACTGTATAGTATTAGTGTGAATAGAACAGTTGAATTTATAAATTAATATTTTTAGACTTAATTAAATTCACTTTAAATGATTTGACTAGCAGGTATGAACTGAAAATAAACCTATATATTTTTGGTTTTAGAAGTATTGAATCAGAAGAAAACTAGAACATCGAAGTATTCTCTGAATCAAATTGATGTTTTATTTGGTTGAGAGTCCTTGCATTTGGTATATTATTTATACTAGTAATAGAGGATTTGAAAGCAGTGCTGGGAAATGAGGTGGGTGGATTCTCTCAATGTTGAATCCCATTTTTTTCCTCAGTGAATCTTCAACATTTATACATCTTAGCATTCAACAAAACGTCTACAGCCTAGATATAAACCATAGATTACTTTTTATATAGTATATACAGTTCATCTACAAACAGCAAAAGGTTCCCTCATGACTTACCTTGAAATCTTTATTCAAAGAATATACTATTCACTTTGTCAGTGTGCCACTACCACCACTGCATGTTTTTGGTCAGGAAAAAGATCTGCAGGTTGCTGGATGTTGGAAGTTACATGCATCTAATTTACAAGTCAGATTAGAGATCAGAATCTTACAATAGCTTTATGTGGAATTGATTTCATTTCATAGTTTTTAAGCTGTTTTTTTTCATTGAAGCAATGCCTGTAACTGAAAGACAGGTGTGTTGTAGCATTTGAATACCTTAAACTCTTTTGAACTGGAATGAAAGGGATGTTCTGGATTCTAAAACTCAGAGATTTAAATTAAATGCCATCATTCATTTATTGTGCCATAATTGAACTACCTTGAGAACTGAATTTGGAATTACTGTGATTAATATTTGGAAAGCTTTGCCATTTTCAAATATAAGTCACTTTAGGAAGGACCACTATTTGTGTGTGTGTGTGTGTGTGTGTGTGTGTGTGTGTGTGTGTGTATTTAAATAGAGCAGCAAGAACCTTTTTACCTTATACTTAAAGTAAATTTAATAAGAAATATGTGGTTTTAACATTGATGTCTCATTCTATTTAAGAAGTCCATCGTGGCTTTTCTGGAAGCCTTCAATAAGGGGAAAGGGACAGTGAATACTACAAATTATAGTTTTTTTTTCCTTTTAAGGCAAACCACTTTCAAAATATAATAAAGCCAATGAATACATAAATATAGATTGGTAGACTTTTTAAATTAAGTTATTTTAAGTTTACCTCTCTATATTAAAATTGAGAGCTATCTCATAAAAGTGAGTATAAAAAATGTTCATTTTAGAGTGTATAGTGTCATTTAATTGAATTCGAGAACACAGTTGCAAAAAAACGTCTTCTAGATGGTTCTTGAACCATTGATTGATTAGTTGAATATAATCAAGAAGAAAAATCCAGATGTTCAAAACTAGTTTTGTATCAGGTCAAAAGAGTATTTAGTTTTATCCTTCTCTACGCCATTGTCTCATGAGTTTTCATGAATTGCTTTCTGAAATGAGAAAACATTGGGATTTGGAAGAGCCTTGAGAATTCATTAGTTTTATCTTTTTTTCCAGTGTGTTTTACAAAGGACCCATTTAGTCATGATATTTATAGGATGTGAGGAAGACAGTGATCCTGGTTTTGATGGACTCCAGAGAAGATTTTGGAGAAAAATTAATGTGAGTTAAGATTGTAGTAGGTGTACATTCATTTTATTGTTCTTTTTTTTAACCTTGAAGATCTTACTGCATACCAATTTACTGTATTCATTTTAATATAGAAGGGACTATTTAAATGAGTACCTCTCTAACCACCTTTCCCTCTGAACTCAAAATCCCTGGTTAAAGTTGCTTTTTTTTTAAAGAGAGTCAGAGGTAATATTTTGAATGGAGAAAGTGAGGCTATTTCAGGCATTGGGAAATGAGTAGAGTATAAAAGGGAGAATGAGATCTAAATGTGTCATGATAGATAGTAAGATTGTAGATGAACACTGTATTTTGGGGTTGATAAGGGTGCTAGAGTAAGTATAGCAACGCAATAGAGTTACTTGTTATCATTGTGAACTATTTACTGAAAGTCTCCTGTATGCCAGACATTAAGACATTTTGCATAAATTCTAAGGCTTTCCAAAATCCTGAAAGCAGGTGCAATTATCCCAATTCCTTATGAGGAAACAAGTTAAATGGTGTATACAGAGTCTTAGAATAAGAATTGAAGTCGCGAATCCTACAACTAGTGGCTTATTCTGTGCAGAGACCTTTTCTGTCTGGTGATTGTCTGATAAGTTATTAATAAGTAGAAAAGAAATCTGAAAGGCCAGCATACATGTAGGAAGGTTTTAAGATTAACAGCTTTTAACATAAGTGACTTCATGTTGGTTTTGTAGAATGACATTGGAGCCTCCTTTAGAAGCAGTGACACATTTGCAAATATATCTGGACACTAGAACTCAACCATATAATAGGTGCCTTTATTAGTAGTAAAGTAGTGTATAGCTGCACTTTCAGGTGTAGGTGATGCTGTGGTACAAAACTCATATACAGAAAGCAGGTGATCATGAGCTACCACAGAAACTGGCATGTATCATAAGCTGAATTGGATCAACTCCAAATAGAATCTGCAGACAAGTACTTTAAAGAGGACTGATTCGAGCAGTCATCTGATACAGAGCTGACTACCAAACAGTTTGGGATGCAGGGTTCATAACTGAATAATGGTATCATGAAGCTCATTAAAATGAGAATTATAAATGTTTACAGGCAAACAGGTCATAAGCAAGCAAATCAGAGAGTTGGATAGAGGTAAGAAGTAGGCGGGATATTCAAGAGTGAAGTATGATAGTCCTATGAAGAGTTTTACTAAAAAACGGAGACAACTTGGGAAGAGAGAGCAGAAAAGTGATTTAGAAATAGATGTTACTGAAATATGTGAGCGAGCTGCTCAAAAATTGCCGGGAGACAGAGAAAATACTGGATGAGTGAGAACTTGTTCTTTAGCATGAAGTTGTATTCCTATCTTATGGTGATTCAAAGGTGACCAGCTAGTTTAGGTAATGGCTTCCCAAGAAAAGACATGCTGATTGTTCCCATTCGTTCTGTGAACTTTTATGCATGTTTCTATAGGCTGGACTTACCCTTATATCTTACGATATTGGGTGACTTGGATTTGTGATTTAGAATCTGACTTAGGCTCTAAGTTTGTCATGATTATTATCGATATTACTTTCAGCTTTTGGGCAGGAGATTACTTTTTTACACTAACTGGCTGTCCTTGCCATCCTCTAGAAGTAAGGTATCAGATGTGACTTTAAAAATTAACTTTATGGGCCATTTCGATGGCTCATGCCTGTAATCCCAGCCCTTTGGGAAGCTGAGGCAGGTGGATCATGTGAGGTTGGGAGTTCAAAACCAGCCTGGCCAACAGGGTGAAACTCCATTTCCATTAAAAATACAAAAATTAGCTGGGCATGGTGGTGCGTGCCTGTAATTCCAGCAACTTGGGAGGCTGAGGCACAAGAATCACTTGAAACCTGGGAGGTGAAGGTTGTAGTGAGCCAAGATCACGCCACTGTACTTCTAGCCTGGGTGATAGAGCGAGACTCTTTCTCAGAATCAAGAAATACAGTTAACTTTATGGAGTATAATTTATATCCAATAAAATGAACCAGTTTTTAAGTGAATTTTGACATGTGTATACACCTATGTTAACTATCCCCCACTCAAGAAATGAACATTTTATCATCCCTGAGATTCCCTTATGCACGGTTTCTGTCAGGCCTTCCCTTTCCTCATCTTCCCACAGGCAGCCACTGTTCTGATTTCTATTTCCATAGATTAGGTTAGCCTGTTCTTGATTCATGTACATGAGATCGTAGAGTATATACTCTTGTATCTGGCTTCTTTTCCCCAACATAATGTTTTTGAGATTAATCCATGTTGTTGCATGTATTAGTGGTTCTTTCTGTTTTGTTGCTGAGCAGTGTTTCATTTTATTGTAATTTGTTTATCATTCTTCAGTTAATCAGCATTTGACTTTTTCTATTGATTGGCTATTGCAAATCATATTACTATAAACAGAATTTTTGCATAAGCCATTATGTATTTTATTTTCTCTGAGTTAAATACCTAAGAATGAAATTATTCTTTCATAGGATTGCTATGTTTTAATTTTATAAGTTTATATATGTAACTTTATATGTATAACCTTTCCTAAATGGTTATAGCCATTTCTACCATGCGTTTTTAGTGCAAGTTTGTAGATCTCTTTATTTTGGACTAAAAATAAATATTGGTTTGTACTAAATGATTTTTATAAAGCCAGAGAGCTTGTGGAAGTATTTCTCATGTAATAGCCGAAATCTAGTATATTTTAAAAATATATCTATTTTTTAAAAAACCTTAATGATAATAAGGTTATTAAGTAGATATGAAATTTTTTGTAAGTAGATATGTAGTTATTAAACTGGTTGGTTGTACAGAATTTTAAATTTTCACCTTGTAGATAGCATGTTTTAATTTGAATTCCAATATGGATATTTTCCATTGTAAACAGTTGGCTCTTCATGAAATGTACATATAATTAAATATGAATAATACTAATCTCTAAGATAAAATTTGTATGACCAGATGAAGAATCTCCTTTTTTCCTTTTCCTTGATGTATTTACTCAGTAGCTTTCCACCCTCATTTTTTTGTAAATCTGTATTTCATATTGAGTAGCTTAAAATGAGAAGTCTTGTAGGGGGATTACACTTTTGGTAGTAGAATAATGATTAGGAGTTGTTTGTTTCAATATTTTTGCTAAAGCTCCAAAGCTGTAACCAAGGATAATAAGTAACCCTGCTTTCTAAGGAGAGAGGTGGGGCTTAGTAAAGGAGAGTAGACTTGGTTCACCTGCAACACCTGTTTCTCCCATATAGGAGAAATTAGAAGAGTGATTAAAAGTGTCATTCAGGTGGAATTCTTAATCTAGTGGGGAGTAGTTTTGTGACGTTTCCCTGTTTGTCCCAAAATGTTTCCAGCCTTTTGTTTCCAGCCTAGGATTTGGATTTGTCTACCAGAAGTGTAGATTGATACGTAATTTGTCTGGATGTTAAGTGAGCTGCAGAATCTTGTTTCCTCATGCTGCAGTGGCACCTTCCAGAGAGTTTTTGAGAAAACATGATTATAGTCCGTTTTCACACTGCTACAGAGAAATACTTGAGACTGGGTAATTTATAAACAAAAGGGGTTTAATTGACTCACAGTTCTGCATGACTGGGGAGGCCTCAGGATACTTACAATTATGGCGGAAGTGGAAGTAGGCACATCTTATATGGTGGCTGGTGAGAGAGAAGACTGAGCAAAGGTGGAACTTGCCAAACACTTATAAAACCGTCAGATCTCAGGAGAACTCACTCATTATCATGAGAACTGCATGGGGGAAGCCACCCCTGTGATCCAGTCACCTCCCACTGAGTTCCTCCCTTGATACCTGAGGATTACAATTGCAATGAGATTTGGGTGGGGAGACAAAGCCTAACCCATATCATATGAGATTTCTGAGAGTTTGGAGCACACTTGAACATAGACTTGTTCCTGGAGGGGAGGAGAATGACTGGAGTCAGCTGAGATGGCATGTTGAGTAGAGAGCTATAGGTGGAGGACTCTGCATATGTCCATCTTGTATGACAGGAAGGCATGACTTTTTTTGTGGGGCAACTAGTCATGGTGGGAAGTAATCAGGCTAGAGTTATCTGGATGGATCCTGCTAAGGAGGGCTGCTTGCCATGTGAAGGGAATGTGGGCTGGATAATGGGGGGTTGGCCTAAGAATGCATTTCTCAGCTGGGTGCAGTGGCTCATGCCTATGATTCCAGCACTTTGGGAGGCCAAGGCAGGAGGATCATAGCTAAGGAGTCCATGACCAGCCTGGGCAACATAGTGAGACTGTTTCTCTTAAAAAAAAAAAAAAAAAAGAAAGAAAGAAAAAGAATGTAACTCCCACAGTAGGGAGCTATGCAAGATGGAGGGGTCACCTTTTTCCTTGCTGTAATTGATGACCATTCTGCTGTGAAGTCACTTAAGAGTGAATGAGAAAAGTAATGGAGTTTATCTGGGTTGTTGAGAGATGGAGAAGTAAGATCTATAAAAGTATTTTTGGAAGCATATATTCCATTGAGCTCAGGTCACTTGACCAGTGTTTTAGTTTAATAGGATCTCTGTTTAGTTGAATAAACCTTTAGTGAGTGCTTAAACAGAATATGTAAGGTACTGTGGTAGGCATTTCATGGAAGGCAAAGATGGCTGTGACTTCTTCTGTCCTCAGGGAGCATCTGCTTTAGTGTAAATAGCTAAAGTTAATTCATGGCACAATGATACAGGTGCTTTAAATGTGTAAATGGCTATGGAATTTGGGAAGAACTACTATGGGAATTTAGAAAGAACAGTGAATACCATGAATACCACTGGGGTTCAGAGGAGTCTTTGTGGAGGAGGCCAACTTTGGGCTAGATCTCAGAAGAACAAAAGGATATCAAGTAGGAAGAGAGGCATTCTGGCATGAGGGAATAAACAAAGCCATGGAATTAGGAACAGGCAGTTGAGAAGAAGTACTGCCCATTCACACTGGACAAATGGTAATTTTACTTTTTAAACAATGCTTTCAACCATCAATTAAGCTTGCTTGCCCATGTTGTAATT